TATTCCTACTTCACGGTTTTTCACTTATTGCGGGTCTTCAGGGTACGGATCCTCCGCGATAACCGAGGGACTACCGTACTGTCAGTTTGGTACTACATGGTTATTTACATAGAACTTTAAAGTTCTTTACAAGCACAAATACCAACAGTGGCCGCTAGCTGTAGCACTTTCAAAGCAGCCTAGGGCAATTCTTGCAAGAATATCATGATCTTTTTGCTGAAAAAGTCATGCAATACAAAGATAATGACAATGTAAAGAGTTAAATAAAAAAAAAATAAAAAAAATCAAATTGTTGTTTTAAGACAACAACAGTCCACTTTGACCTTGGTCACGCTCATCAATCCAGTCAAAAAATATCTCTGTTCCTCAAAACTAAGGTTGCTGAAAAAGCTATCTACAACAGGTAAGACATTTGTTACTGACTTTTTGACAGAATGGCACTTCAGAAAATCTGAACAATCTCTTTAATAAACACACCTCAGTAAGGAAGCTGAGTTAAAATGCAAAGAAACTAAAAAATAAAAATGCTATTTAACGGTGCCCTGTGATGGACTTGGGACCTGTTCAGGGTGTCACCCACCTCTCGCACAGTGACTGCTGGACATGGGCACTAGTGACCCCCATGACCCGGAAAGGAAGAAGTGGGTAAATATAATGGATGGATGGATGGATAGGTATTTAATGACTCCAAGTTGTTGATTTTTTAATATCCTGACATAAATTAATAAAATAAAAGACTATGATCACATTATAAATGTTAAAAATGAGGGCACACATACGTCAATAATCATGCGGACTGTCGGCAGAGTGGCTGCCAGGTTTTGAGGGTGGGGAGGCCTGACGTTCACTGGAACACAACCAGCATAGAGACAGCCATAAAAGGCTGCAATCAAATCGATGCCTGAGAAAAAAAAAACAGTTGAGATCATACACAAGCATTCTTTTCAAGCGTGATACAGTCAGAGCCAGAACGTACCAGGTGGATAGAGCAGCACTACGTTCTCCCCAGTGTTGATACTGCCTTTCTCTGTGAGAGCTGCAGCGATCTTCTCCGCTCGCTTGTGAAGCTGAACACAGGTGGCCGTGCCGACTGTTACACCCTAAAGAACAGAACAGAAAATATTGGACAAAAAGCGAGGAACACAACAGCGTAGCAGCATCTTCAACAATTCACAAGTGGCTCACACCTAAAAGAGACCCAAATAAACTGTGTGCGGCACCTTTGCATTGAGAAGAACGTAGAGAACGTGGTCTGGGTCTGTCTGGGCTCTCCACTGTAAAGCCTCTGTCAAATACTGATGCTGTAATACAACAAGAAGAGTCATTACATATTGATCGTCTGAACAATATTTGCACAAGCACTGTTGTGTCAAATGACAGTTTTGACTTTTTAATCGCACCTCATTTTATTTCATCAAGCATTACAGTTAAAAAATAGGGCAAATTCAGGGAGCAACTTTGTGCTGATGAAAGTAATAATAAACAGTACCATAAGATGGTGCTTAGATTGCACACCTCTGTAGATAGCTGTCTTAACATAAATCATTACTTTGAGTCATCCAGTTTACAGATAATGAACTACTGAGGGTGTAAAAGGTAAAGAACATTCACCGAAAAACAAGTGATAACCACAGAGGGTGCACATTTTGTAAAAACAAACATGCAAATTCCTGCTCAAGCCAGAAATTAACACCAGTACATAAAATAAAGCCACGATACAGCACAGGTTAGCTCATAATGATTATAAACATGGGTGTAGGGAACATGCCAGTGTGAATTCTTACCATCACAGTGGGCCACATACAGAGCTACATCCAGAGAAAGTTGAGAGCAAAGAGAAAGAAGAATCCAGATTTTTCTATAAAACTGACTTTTGCCTGAGCTGAACTCTTCAAATCTTAAGATTTATCTTTCATCCACGCTTCAAGATTCATTAATCGCACACACATGGTTCCTGCAGCTTCTGGAGGAGACGCTGTTAATAATTTACCTGATTTAAAGTTTACGGTTGGTCGAAAGTGTGAGTTTATGTGTTTGAAGTCAAGTTACCTTCCGGACAAGGTCCTGGTCTTCAATCATGCCGAGGTCCCTGCCCGCTGCCTGGGCGATCCGCTTTCCTGCCACCAGGTTCCCCACCATGACGGATGCAGGGCCGACGCCGACTGCAGCAGAAAAGAAGAGTCAAAGAAAAGAAAGAGTGAACTGGAGGAGAAAAATCCAGGCGGAAAAGAAGAGAGAATTAAAAGCACCGTTCACACATATCTGTGTGCAGGAAATAAACATTTGGAGTAGAAATGGTAAACTAGAGCAATGCAGAAGATACACAATAAAAAAAGAGGAAGGAAGGATATTCAGAAGAATTATTTATAATTTATGTGAATTTGGTCATATAATAACAAGAAGGAAAAATATTTTAAGTCACCAATTAATGAAAAATACATACACAAAAAAAAGGCTGGATCAGCCATGACACTACAGTGCATGATAATATACTTGCAAATAAATCAAACAATAATAAAATAATAATTTCAGTCAAGAATTCCCACATTATTATAAACATTTACACATTAAAAATACATTGCTTCAACCAAAATCATAAAACAATTAGAATTTGTTTATTACTTTTTCTTGCATTTCGAGGGACATTCACACAGAAACATAAGAAAATCTGTTTGCTGGAGAACTAAACATAAAAATAACATTTTCCTAAATGTTGAATATTCTTTGTTTTTATTTATTTATTTACAAATGTGTGACTTTATCACAACATTATTTTCTGATAAATTTGTGCATTATTGCTCAAAACCGCAAAAGAAAATTATGTCAGAACCACAAGGACTTTTTGTAATATTACTTCTCTTCATAATTGTGTCATTTACCTGCAAACAGAGATATATTTGATAAAATTCAAGGTAAAACCTCTAATTTCACTAAAACCTACCCACTCTAACCTCAAGATGTTGTTTCTTCATCTTCATCAACACAGTCCCAAACAAAACGACTGCATTTCTTCATTTCTATATAAATATTAAACTTTTTTGCACCTTAAGAACCCATGCAAACCATAAACCTCTCAGAAAGCCTGGTGCCGGCAGAATATCAGCACCGATCAGCAGGTATGAGCTTAAGCTTCCAGTCTGACGTGTGACGGACAGACGTACCCGGCTGCTTCTGGCGAGGTTTGGGCAGGTTGGTGACACACGTATGGGGACACATCAGGATGTTGCAGGGGTGCAGGTTGCCCTCTAAAAAGAACTGCTTGGTGTCAGAGATGTGAATGCCACCCAGGGGTGTTTTGGGTAAGGTGTTGGCCGGGACCAGAGCCAGACAGTAGAGGCCCACTTGGTGGATGCTGTCAATAGCCTTCAGAGGAAACCAGACATGATCAGCAATACTGGGTAATGATGGTGATGTTGCAGACACAGAAAGAGATTTTTATTTTTCAAACATTATGGCGAGGTAGAACTGATGTAAACAAAAATGTTGTTTTTAGAGTAAAACCTTGAAAAAAAAAAAGACAGATTTGATTTACCTGAAGCACTCGACTCATCCACTGGAAGCTGTCCTCCTCGCTGGCGTCTGGCCTCTGCTCTGCCACAATTACAACCCTCTCATCGTAGAACACCGTGACCGAAAACACTGCAATCCTGACGCAGACAAGCACACAAACACAAATACTGTATACTGAGGACCAGGGGCGATTCTAGAATCTGACCTTTAGGGGGTGCTCAGCCCCCAGTGCTGACAATGGCTCTTGGCTTGAACAACTCCTTAGATAGAGACATTTACTAATTGGCTTTTATGTATGTGAATGTTCCTGTAAAGTGCCCTGAGACAACTTTGTTGTGATTTGGCGCTATATAAATAAACTGAATTGAATTGAATTGAACAATGTGGTGGCCATTGACATCAGAAGCATTCATAATGTAGTGTCGACGGCGCACTAGTGGAGGGGTCTGGGGATCCTCCCCCATAAAATTTTGAATAAAGTAAATGCCATTTCCTGCATTTTGGTGTATTTTAGCAGGTTGTTAACCATCTATGTTTACCAACATAAGTAAACACTTGATTCAGTAACTAATTTAGAGAGAAAAGCACAACAAGAAGCAGCACTAAGCTAGCAGCGTGCAATACAGACGCGTTAGCTAAGATGCTACAGATGTAGTGCTCTTTCTATTACATAACCTAATCAACGCTTTGTACAAAATCAGTTTAGTTTTAACTGATCATAACAAAGACTAAACTTATGCAACCAGAAGTTGCAACACACATCTACATACAAAACACACAAAACAAAGCACAACCATCTTTAAGTATTAACCTTTAATTTATCCATTAAGCATATAGTGTAATTATGACAGAAAATTGAGGTTTTACATGTAGGTACCTTCGTACATATGAACATGTGGTACTTCCTGTTTATCACTGTTGTATTCAGCTGCTCATGAGGTCGGCCGCAGGGCTTTATCCAACGTTTACATTTTTCCAGACTCAGTTTAGGTTTTGGAACCAGAATAAACAGTATTCACCCCAGTGTTTCCCCTAGTTAACTTGCCATGGCGGGGTGCTCATCTCATCCCTGATTTTTGTTGACGGGGGACGGAAACATGTCTGAGCGCAGCTTGTACCAACATTTTTTGAGTGAGGGCGGGGGGCAGTCAGCATGAGGGAAGAGGCGTCTTTAGCTTTTTAGCTAGAGCACCTGTATTGCACGCCGCTAGCTTAGCACTATGGTGGGGGGGGGGGGGGGGGGGGTGTTGGTAGGCGGGATGCTCAGCTCTGTTGACGCGGTGGGGCACCCCGCTTGTATAAATGGTAGGGGAAACACTGCACCCTCTAAAGCAGGATATTCAACTAAACAGCTCAGAGGGGCACCCCAAACCTATAACTGCCTAAAAAAAAAACGGTAATAATAAATATTATTTTTTACTTTATTTTTCAGGGGTGCTGAGTTAAAATTTAGGGGTGCTTGAGCCAAAAAGAGGCTAAAATTGTCACTGCTGAGGACTAAAAATTTAAGACATAATGACTCTTGATGATGTTCGTGCTGCTGTTCAGCGCATTGTTTTTATGCCACTAGTGCTTATGGTGCATTTTTATTGTTTTTCTTAGTTCATATCTTAGATCTTATTACTGTTTTTCTTTTACATTTTAATACTTTTATTGGATGTAACTGGAACACTGTCTACACAATTTCATTTCACCACATGTACCACCTGTGGCGGAATGACAAATAAAGAACCTTGAATCCTTGAATCTTCATTTTGGAGCTCATGTTTCTCCTCCTTCCGTACCACTAGATGTCAGTAGAGCTAAATCATCTTCTGTGCTTCACTCATCAGATAGTTCATCTTTTTATTAGTTTTACACACAATGAAGAATCTCTCCTCACCTTCCACGGTACACTGTCTTCACAGGCTCCACAGCCAGAGCAGTGGCCACCAGATCATCAGCGTTGTGTCTTCGCCCACTAACCATCAGCAAACCTTCTATCTTCCCCACCACAAAGATCAGACTGCCCTGTGCAACCGAGAGAGGGGGGAATAACACAAAGCAGAGTGATTGCACCGTCAGAGAGGAATGCTTTGTGTCTAATCAAAGATTCGTACTTACTGGACCGACAAAGCCCAGGAGTCCTGATCGCACAAATGGAATCTCTCCAATGGGAACTCCATTAGTGTTGACCGGTATCACCTGAACACAACAACAAAAAAGACATGAACACGTCAGATCAAAACAAACAGAAACGACTCTAAACCGTTTTAGTGCAGATTCTGTCAGGACACGTACTGGCTCACTTCTCCTTTCATACCTCGAAGGTGTTTTTGGTGAGTCCAGGCAAGCCGTAGTACATGGTGCCTCCAGCGCGGGAGTTGATTATTATCTCTCCAATCTCGTCCGTTTTACACAACTGAGGAGGTCCATCTGGCTTAACTATACACATCAGAGCTGAAAGCACAAAACAGAAGCATTAGTAAAGCATTTTGTTTTAATTGAAACTCCTAAATTCAAGTCAAGTCAAGTCATATTTATTTATAGAGCACAATTTAAAGGTCGCTAGGATAATTGGTTGGAATAATTCAACACTTTATTGAGTTCCAAACTCTTAAACTACAAGTTGTGTTTATTAGTTTTACTTACTTTGTACAGCACTTTGGTAAACGAAGGTTTTTTAATGTAATATGTAAAAAAAAAAAAA